CGTCTGCGCCTCCCAGTACCACTGCGACAACCGCTGCGCCTGATGCCGCTGCGGCGTTCCGGTACGTTGCTTGGGAACGCAAGGTACGTCTGTTGGTGGTGCGCTCTGTCACAGTGGCAGAGCCCCCCGTGCAGTTTACTCCCCGATGTGTTGAGGTGGCCGGAGTGTGTGGCGAGCCGCTTCCACGTGGTATGTTTTTGTGTTATGCTTGGATTGGAGTTGATTGATGTGCGGATCATGGTGCCATTGACGGAGTCGGACGGACGCGTTTGATAACGGCGTGGCGACGATGGAGCTTCCGAGAGGTCACAGCGAGGTCAATTTGGGTCTCAGGTGAACAGGACACTACAACTCACTCTTCTCATGTGGAGATCGTCTTGTTTAAAAAGCTGCACAGCTTCATCCTGCTTACAATCAGCAACCTACCCTACCCAGGCGGGATCATTTCCCGTTGCAGTTTGTTAGTCATGAATATTAAGGGTGCATCGACTGCATACTCATTTTCCGTTGCAGAAGCACCATGGAAGCCTGTATTCCTTATAATGCTGTGTTGGTCGAACGATGCGGTGGCGCCGGCTTGTCACCGTTCTACCGGTTTGAGGCTTGCTTGTTGTCTGTTGTGCACCAGTGAAATGGTTCATCCAGATTACGCATCACGAGCGCATGCTATGAAACTGGGTTTAGTGCTTTGTGTGTAACCTTCTGTGCGCGGCCTGTCCTCAGTGAAAAGGGCGGGACAGCTGCGACCACGGTACGTGGTCCGGTACTGCAGTCCCGGTGAACGGGACAGCTGCAGCCATGGTCCGCGGTCCGGTACTGCAGTCCCGGCGAGCGGGACAGCTGCGGCCATGGTCTGCGGTCCGGTACTGCGGTCCCGGCGAGAGGGGCAGCTGCGGCCATGGTCTGCGGTCCGGTACTGCGGTCCCGGCGAGAGGGGCAGCTGCGGCCATGGTCTGCGGTCCGGTACTGCGGTCCCTGCGAGAGGGGCAGCTGCGGCCATGGTCTGCGGTCCGGTACTGCGGTCCCTGCGAGTGGGACAGCTGCGGCCACGGTCTGCGGTCCGGTACTGCGGTCCTTGCGAGTGGGACAGCTGCGGCCACGGTCTGCGGTCCGGTACTGCGGTCCCTGCGAGTGGGACAGCTGCGGCCATGGTCTGCGGTCCGGGACTGCGGTCCCTGCGAGAGGGACAGCTGCGGCCATGGTCTGCGGTCCGGTACTGCGGTCCCGGCGAGTGGGACAGCTGCGGCCACGGTCTGCGGTCCGGTACTGCGGTCCCTGCGAGTGGGACAGCTGCGGCCATGGTCTGCGGTCCGGTACTGCGGTCCCTGCGAGTGGGACAGCTGCGGCCATGGTCTGCGGTCCGGTACTGCGGTCCCTGCGAGTGGGACAGCTGTGGCCACGGTCTGCGGTCCGGTATTGCAGTCCCGGCGTCCGTTGTTGGCGACCCGGTGCCGGCCACACTGCTGCCCCTCTCGGAGCTGAACTCCTGCGGTCACGCCACACTCATAGCTGAACTCCTGCGGTCACGCCACTCTCGGAGCTGAACTCCTGCGGTGACACCACGCCCGGAGCTGAACTCCTGCGGTGACACCACGCTCGGAGCTGAACTCCTGCGGTGACACCACGCTCGGAGCTGAACTCCTGCGGTCACACCACGCTCGGAGCTGAACTCCTGCGGTCACGCCACGCGATGTCGACTGCCACTCGTCACGTCACAGGCTCGTCGCCGTCACAGACGCCGGCTAGTTGCGTACATACGTGTGCGGTCTTGTATTGGCCTGAATGGTTTCCTTAGGCCTGTAAACTGCCATTGCTCCAACGCAGTTGGTTTAAATTGGTTCTTTCAGTGTTTAAACACCACATACCTCACTCAGCTCATCACACATCTCACTCAAGTCACCACATATCTTACTCAATTCATCACATACCTCACTCACTTCATCACATATCTCACTCAATTCATCACGTGCGTCACTCAATTCTAACCTAAGACGCTGTACAAAAGCAATTCCAACGATTCCACATCCATTCAGCCTGGCTTTGTGGTATAAGGTAGGGTCCCAAACCTATCCATCTCTGGCCCGAATCGAACCAAATTTCGAATGACGTATCACAAGCCCGATGCCTGCATTCCACCAGACCGCTAGGGTTGTCCGGTCATATAGCATGTGGTTGTCCCGTGACCTGTCCATGGTTGAGGGTCACGGTCAGCCCCTGACCAGGTCACGGTCAGCCCCTGGCCGGTGTCGATTGCGCTGGGTCGTACGCGCGGTACGGCGCCACATAGCGGGGTGCGGTTTGGCGGGCACTCCCCTCTGGTACACAGAGTGTCCCATTCTACTGTGACGCGCTGTGACGCGTAGCGTCACTATTTCCGTGCAATGTTAGCTGACCATCTCAATGGAGCTAAGCCCACTGCCTGGCCGTCGAACCGCTCATATGACGTCACCATCGGAATGACGTCATCGGCGCCTCCGATCAATACCGAAGGGCGACGCCTTGAGCGTTGTCGGCCGGTCACTCGCACCCGCGCACACTCATACCCGCGCGCGCGCAGCTGGCCGGCCGCGGCGCACACGGTGGCGCTGCGCGCGCGGCGGCGCGGCGCTGTCGGCCGACGCAGCGCGCCTCGCGCCAGTACACGCCGCGGCGGCCAGCGCGGCGGAGGGTGGCGGGAGCGCGGTGGCAGGCGAGAGGGTGAGTCCACGGAGCAAGGCGGAGCGGCGCAGAGGTGCCAGCGGACCAAGAGTGGAGTCTGGGATTGGGAGTGGGGCATCCCCCACGGGTGACGCTTGGGTGGGATTTCGAAATGTGAGGAGGCCCGTCTGTTTTTAGAGTTTTGACACGAGAGGACATACTAAGGCTTTGCATTCGGCCCGCGCGTGATGACATTATGCAAGGTATCGAATGAGTATACCATAGGTATAGATAAGTTTCGTTGTACAATCCAATACGATACACATCGTTTTTGTCTCAAAATGTGGGATTTAAATTTTGCATGCAAATGGGCGTTCCGAGTCTTACGGTTCGTGCAAAACGTCACGTTCTGAGCGTAGATTACATCATTTGGTCTCCCGGATGGAGTAACTGATCGTATAATCAGTTGAAGCTAATGTGCTTGTCGGTATCTACATACCAGACAAGGACGAAAGTCCAAGAAATTATTCCGTTCGTGGTAATATTAGCAGGTCACAGTCATTCCGTAATGCCATAATCTTTAAATCTAAGCTGCCTGACGGGCGCGCCGCCGCCGCTGCAGTTGTACGTCACGGGCCTTCACAGCTGTGTGGCAAGGGAGCCGACCTGAGCGTCACCGCAGCACGTGCGGTTCGCCTGGTCGGCGTCACAGCGCGTGCTGTCGACACCGCGCCTGGCCGTCATCCAGGCCGGCCTCCGGCGCGCTCGTGTTGATCTGGCGGGCAGTGGCGCCGCCCGCCGGCCTGTTTACCATTGACGCCTCGCGCCCCGGCCCGGCCCGGCCCGGCCCGGCCCTGCCCTGCCCGGCCGGCCGGCCCTAACCTAAACAGAAGTGATGCGGGCCGCCCAGTGGAGCGTGGCTGCCAGCCCCGGCCCGCCGTACGGGCCCTCCCAGTGCCATTGTTTTTCACCCATTACCAGCCTCTAAAAACAGCCATCGCGAGTCGGCTGGGAGCGGCGGCGCCGTGACCCCGCGCCGGGCCACGCTGGGCCCACCCTGCCCCCGGATCTGCCGCTGAATGGAGGTGCTGTCTGGGCGGCGCGGCCAACCCGCCGGGCTCCGGCTCTCCGCGCGGCGTCATCCATCGTCGGACCCCCTCCGGGGTGGCTGGGGATGTGCCGGCCGTGCGGAGCCCTTCGACCCGGCCGCTCCTCCGGGCTCCCGCCCGCGCCGTGCTTAGAGCGTGCGTTGTGCGCGGAAGGTGGGGTGGGTTCGTGAAGGTCGCCGACCCTCCGGTGACAGGGACCGTTTGTGCGGCGACGGCTCGGTCGAGCCGTCTCGCCCTGCTGTCGGAATGGACTGGCTGTCCGAATGATCCTTGCCGGCGTCGGCTGTAGCGACACGAACGCCTGCGAGCAGGGCATACACAGCCAGTACGCAGCCCAGCGCCGCTTGAAGTCGAAACTTGTCTCCAGGATTGTCCAACCGGCGTCCCCAGACACTCTCACACCCGAGCTCGTATTTTAAGATCGTCGTAAATTCCTTTTGAATGAATGAATGAAAGGTCGACGCCCTACGGCGTGCCGAGACCCTCACAGCTCGTCAGACGTCACGGTGGCCTAGAGGGAGGGGGGGGGGGGGGAGATCCCATGCCTCCCCGTGTGTACTTAGCGCCGGAAGACCAGTGCCGTCCCTGCCCCTCGCCCTCCCCACGCGCTCGGAGCCAGCGGCCGGACCTCGCTGGCCCCTTTGTCCGCCCGTGCGTGCGCCCGCTCCATTGTCGGCGCTGGCATGCGCCGGCCGCGGGGCCCGCGGCAGGGGCGTGAACGCCCGACCCGGCTAATTAGTTAATGAGCGCGGACAGTGCGGTGGCCGCGGGACGCCAGGTGGCCTCGTGGCGGCGGCCCCGCCGTCGCCGCCGGCGCGGTAATGGGATTGCTGAGGAGACAGCGTCTGCGTCGCGGCGCGCGAAGCCGAGAGCGGACGCGCGACACATCCGGTGGCCGTGTGAATGGCACGCTTTCCCCGCCGCCGATCCAGACGTTCCCAGGAGAAATCGACGCGCTGAAAGGATGAGTTCGGACGAGTTAACTGGGCGGCTGGGCGGCGGCGCGGAGACCACCCTGACGCCGAGCGCCGATCGGTGACGACCTCCCGACCCGGCGCTCCGACCGCCCTCGGCGCGGCGGGGGCGCCGGCCTCGGCATTCAGTGCGTGTCGCTGGCGCCCCTGTGGATGCGGGCGTGCCGTCCCCCGCCGCGACCGCCCACCTTAAGCTAACAAACCGCCGCCGTCCGGCGCCTCGGGGCCGGCGCGTCGCTGCTTTCCCTGCCTCAGCGGGTCGTCTCCTGTTTCAGGGATGCGGTGGAGCGCGTAGCCACGACGGACGCCATGCCTACTCGCGCGGCCGACCGCTGACCGGTGACCGCTGATCGGTGACGCGTGGTCGGCGACGGGTGACCGGTGACCTGAGGTCGCCGCGGTGCCAGAGGGCCAGTCTGACACCGGCGGTACTGGTGGCGGCCGGTGACGCGACAGCCGCGAGCTGCGACGGACACGGCGCCGCGGCGTGTCAGAGAGGGTGCCCGCCCGGTGGGGACGCGACCGAGGCCGGTCGGTGAAGTGACCCTCTCCCAGTGTGGACAGAGAGACTGGTGCAGGCGGCGGCCGGAGGAGTCGCTTCCAGTCCGAAGCTCGGCCAGAGGGGCCGCCGCTGCATAAAGCGCAGTGCGGCGGGGTCTGACCGACGCCCGTCTCAGTGCGTGGCCGTCAACAGGCATCGATGCCAGTGAGATAGCTGCCCAGTCAGTGAGTGCGTGAACAGAAGGCGTCAGGTTTGGTGTGGAGACGTCGGTACCAGCCCCGGTCTGAAGACGGCGGTGCGGTGGACGTGCCGGTGACGATGGCGAAGGCCGCGCTGGTGCCCGCCGCCCTGTGGCGCTGGATGGTAGTCGTGTCGCTGTGGACTCTGGGGCAGGCGTCGTGGCAGGAGAACCTCCGGCCCCGCAGATACGTCCGACTCGGTGAGTTCAGCTGCACGTGCATGTTCTTTTGACGTGTTGCCGAGATGCGATGTACATCACCGGCACTGCGCACCAGCTGCTGGGGTACAAACGTGACGACCACAGTGGTGTTGTCGCCCATACAACTGGACACTAAGAACGTGTCAGATATTCCCCCTGCCGAATGTGTGGGAGTGTGCGTCTGTATTGGCAGGCGGGGGATGGGTCTGCAGAGGTCTGGCGCACTTCAACCAAATACAGTGGTCGCCACCAATGGATGTGCAGGTGCGCAAGTCAAAAATGTTAAGAAAATGCCAGAAATGTTGAGAAAAAAATGTCGGAAACATACGTACGCACCGATTTTTGGTAGTCGTCGCCGGTCCTACGGAGTTACCTGGACGACTCGGTGGAGCGGCCTTACCAATCTCCCCATCCTCGGCCTGGCTCAAAATTTCTGGTCACCAATGCTCTGATGCTCTCTTCCTCTCTCAATGTCCAGCTCGTTTGCTGCGGGGATTTCTGGTGGAACCTCCTTATCGTTATGATTAGGGCTTAATTTTCCGGGTCGTTACGGTTATCTCAGGTCTTTTCGGCCCATAACGAGAGACCGGCATCCCCTGGTAATCTCCTTCTCCGCCCTGCTCTATTTGGTGGCCTCATTTGCTCTCCACCTTAATCCTTCTCACCGTCTCGCCTTTCGTTCTCCCTTGTCTCTCTCCTCTCTCGCGTTTCCTTGCTACGTAGTTTCCTCTTTATCATGGGCTGATATGACAGATCTTCCTTTCTCTCTCTCTCTCTCTCTCTCTCCTCTCTCTCTCTCTCTCTCTCCTCTCTCCTCTCTCTCTCTCTCTCTCTCTCTCTCTCTCCTCTCTCTCTCTCTCTCTCTCTCTCTCTCTCTCTCTATCTCTCTCTCTCTCTCTCTCTCCTCTCTCTCCCTCTCTCTCTCTCTCCCTCTCTTTTCCTCCACACTCTGCCGTCCCACTCTCTCTTCCTTTATCTCTTCAGTCTTCTCTTGCCTATGCATGCTTCACGCAGCCCTGAATGCGTTTCCGTCTTCATGAATATTTACAGGAACATTTCTTTCTCTGCTCCTTTACACCTCGCTTCCCGTCTTGGAGACGTGGGCTGCGGTGGGCTCACTTCGTGACCTTCAACTAATCCATCCTTTTGTTTCATTCACCAGAACTTGTTCGATGTTGCTCAAAAAAACGTCCCACCTGATGTTTCACTTCACATGCTGTTCTCTTTTACTATGAAAGTTTCGTTCATTATATCCGATGCTGGAATTCCGAGACTTGTGTCTGATTCCCAAAGGTCACGGGTAATTCGTGCGAGCATGTCCGCTTGCGGACTCCTGTTTGGAAATCTTTTAGGCCCCAGCTCGATATGATCTGTCACAAGTGTCTAGCTTTAGCTTAACTAGAAACTCACATCAATGATATTCTTATGCGTTTCCACCACGTACTTCCTACAGCTGGAAATAATTCGTGTGGAATGATTTGCCAGCGGGCTTACTTTACAACGCAAGACCAATTTATGTGTCACGGAGCTTCCATTGTTGATTGTATCATCTGGATCCTTCCACAGATACACCAGCCGATTTGTCTCATACTTTTCTTTTTTTGATTACCAAATCTTTCCGCACTCGATTTCTGGACAGGTTTTGTGCTTGATCGTTTTGTAAACCCGTAATCTTCCGTGAGCCGTACATGTACCCTCGTGGATATCATAGACAGCGGCTTTGTCACTGTAGTTCAGTGTAGCTACATTACATTCATGCGCATATTGCATGTAATAATTACCACACCGTATGCTTGATATGCAACAATACTATGCGAGTATTCTGTAAACAAAGCACGTGCTTCGGTCTGCCTGCGCTGCCTTCCAGGGTTCGTAACGTTTTCGAATAATGTGGTGCTACTTGACCGTCGGGAACTTACTCCTGAGTACACGTGGCAAACCATAAGTCTCCATCCTAATCTGTGCTGCAAGGTCGCAGTGGCGGTTGTGGTGCTATGACGAATAATGTATGGAAAGGCATATGGATACTAGTTGTTACGCCTGAACAACACTGCACCTCTCTCTGTTGCGGCCAGGAATGAAATCGTACGGATCTTAACAACACGTGCAATGTTCTATGCAATTCCAAGTCTGGAAGGCAGCGGAAGTTCAAAACGCCACACTTGCGCAAGCGAGGCAGTCGACCATGGTCCGTCTGGCGTTTAAACGCGTGCATGTGACCGTTATCGCGGGAGATGGAGGAGAGTGGACATGTGACCACGTGCCAGCTGTCGCGGCGTTGACACATCTCAGAAATACACACACGTGGTCAGAGAAACATCCACGGGAAAGGCTACGTAGGTGAATAGATACATGTGATTCCTCAGATTTGTCACAGTTTTCTGCGGCGCCCGGCTGTGCGAGCGCTGTGTCAGCGACAAAGGACAGCGTGCGCGTTGTCCATTCTGTCAGCCGAATTACACTCGCCTAGACCCGACAATGACTTTCAAATACTGATCTGAATACCGTCACGACTACGTCCGGGATCCTGCGGAGCTCACATAATGTGCATCAGATGGGTCGCGTCGGCGGGCGCATTGAGTGCAATTAACATTAACAATTAACATTTTGAAATTGCTGCGCGCACCGCGGCGCACCTGCCTGACAGCTGCGGCTCGGCGTGACGAATTAATGGGCCGTTTTTGCTGGCGACCGGCAGAGAACACGATCTGACGGCCGGAGGGCCCCAGCTGGACGGACTGAGCTGAGTACGGAAGCGTGACGGCACGGGTGCATGAGCGCTCGGTCTCCACACGCGCCGCCGACCAGTGCAGGTGTCCTGGGCTGACGAGCGCTGCGCCTTATCATCCATGCAATGGCACGCAGCTCCAACGTCGCGTCACGGCAGCGAGAGAGCAGCTGGTACACTTGTCCCGCCTCAGCGGGAGGACCCGCATGCTTTACATCTGTGCCCGTTCTGTCTCCTGGTCTGTGGCTTAATGTAAGCTGTGAGTCGAGGATAATGTGTTGGCGAAGGTCGCAAGTTGATGTAGGGCCGCTTTCTCCATGACCTTGTAAGCTACTGTCCTCAGCCTCTTGGTCCGATGATAAAGAATCTTTGTCTCCCGTCGGTCTTTCCAGGCTCTTGTCGTTTCCAGTATGGTATGTTGTGCTAGTTCTACCCTGGTGATCGAAAGGCGGTGACATATACGCAGGCTATGCATAGTTGCAGACAGCGAAGGCCGAGGAGTGATTTACCTAGGGGGAAGACGGGGGGGGGGGGGGGGAGAGGAATAGGGGTATACGAGGCGATGCTCCTACTTTCCGAGATAGTTTTTTTTGTTAGCATTCACGCTATGGCGATACCTTGAAAGACTACAGAATCGTTTGGCCCTTCCACAAGGGGGGTGCAGTCACACGCCCGCGCATGAGACATGCCGTACCACACACACATGCCGTATCACACACACATGCCGTACCACACACACATGCCGTATCACACACACATGCGAACCGAAAACGAATCCCGGATCACGAGTGGCATCCCGAACATCTCGTCCTGCCTCAGTGCGCTCTGTTCAGACAGACGGCACTCGATTGGGAGCTGTGTTGAACTCAGATGTTGCGATGTTACCCCACGGTTCTAAAATTGCTGTTGGATGTTTCTGCCATGCCGCGGCCTTTGGGTGCGCTTCTGCCCAATGCAAATCCACTCTGTCCCTCCCCCACCCCGGACTACATTTCGCCCCTCCCCATCTCGTATCCCACCCTGCCCCGGCTCGGTTCTGCGTTATACCCAACGCCTGCCCGGCTCCGGATCCCATCCTGACTCGCTCCTGCCCAGCTCCGGATCCCATACTGCCCGCCCCTGCCCAGCTCTGGATTCCATCCTGTTCGTCCCTCCCCAGCTCCGGATCCCATCCTGCCCGCCCCTGCCCAGCTCTGGATCCCAGCCTGCCCGCCCCTCCCCAGCTCCGGATCCCATCCTGCTCGCCCCTCCCCAGCTCCGGATCCCTGCTCCGCGCGGTCGGTGGCGGAAACAAAAGGCACCACGCGCCGCTGCCGCTCTGATTAATCCCCGTCGCCTAACGACCGAGGCGCACTTCTTCAGGTGCCGGCGGCAGACGGGTTTTCGGCGACCCCCGACGACTGATGGTGGCGCTCCGCCTGCGCCCGACATAGAACGATAGCCCCGGCACACGGTCTCCGCTGCCGAGTCGGCGCAGAGACGCGGGCGAGGGCGCTCGGGAAGCGCCGGTCAAAGCCTGCATGCGCGCGGAGACGTTTCATGACGCGCTGTATCAGCACGGTCATGTTTGTTTGTAGGAAGGCAAGGGGGGGGGGGAGGCAAGGCAAGGGTCTGGACGCCACCCGCGCTCCCTCTGGGTCCGCCTCTGGTCGCTCCCGGGACACGTCGGCCGCAAGTGAGCCGCAGTCACCCGCGCCCGTCTAATTGACACCGCGAAATGAACCGGAAAAGTGCCGGCCCGGCCCGGAGGCTGACAGCCAATGATTGGCCGTCGGTCAGGGATCGGCCCCTCGCCGGCCAGCGCCGGCCGCCGGCGCGCCGGTGAGGGCGTAGGGCAGCCGAGGGCCGAGGTGTTCGCAGGCCGGAGGGACAGGAGAGCTGCACCTGATTAGGCAGCTCAGCCGAATGTGATCCTGATTGGGCAGCTTTTTTTACCTTTCGGTGCGCATCGCCGTCTGTTATTTTTACTCCGTGTGTTTTCGACCCCTGCGCAGCGTAGGCGTAAAAACCCGACCAAACATTGGGGCTGAGCACAGACTTTGATCCGCTCCTGTTTTACCAGGCTGAATTGTTAATGGCATCAAGTGCTGAAGTACCGCAGAGAGGGTCTGGGCGGAAGAGACTGGGCCCGACAACTGTATTCACTCTGAAGCCACTGCTGTGCGCGTGTTTCCGTTTGCTGCGAAACAGAGACAGTGAAGGTCGTTTTGATATGCTCTGTTTCGCAACTGTAGCTCGTCAACGACACACAGCGCGGAGAGACAGATGCTGC